AATGTAATTGCATAAATGTAATAGATACCCCTCTTACACTCGAGCACAGACCCCCTAAATATAACTAATTCCAGTAATAAAGTTTGCCATCCGGCCACAAAGGAAGAGATATTAGATGAGTTTTGAAGGAGAAGCTAAAGAGATGTGAATTAGGTCAATTTCATTCTTCAAGATTAGAAAAATTGGGTTTGGCTATTTTTAAGATACTTCCCACTTTGAGACTAGTTTTTATTTCACACCCTAAAATCGGGTAAAATAATATAATATCTTAAAACCAAAATACCCGTTATTAAATATTTTTTACCAATTATAAAACATAAAATAAATAAATAAAGCCATCAATGAGCCTTGTTCCGCAGGCCCAAACAAACCTCAATCATCATTTCCATCACACACAAATACTTAAAACAACTCCAAAGCAATAAGAATAAAAAAACCTCATTAAAAAATAGATCATTTCCTCCATCTAAGCCAGTACAAATTTTACAAAAAAAAAAAAAAAAAAAAAATTTCCTCCACAATAACATTATAAATAGGATTATCTTAATGTGTGTCCTCAGTATGTTAATTAAGGATATTAGAAAAACATAATATTTAATATATTAATATCAATGTATTAGTAATTGTGTTTTTTTTTTTAATATATAATATGCATCAAAAGAGATAAATATTTTGTCTTCTAGTGTCCTTAATTTGTGCCCTTAAAGCACACATTGAGACAAAGTTTAGAAATATAAGGCATCTAGAGGTAATAAAATCAAGGCGCCATGTATAAAGGAATGTTGTTCGATGGAAGAATTGTAGCCATTAAAAGGCTTAAGATGGTCAATAAAAACAAGCTTGAACATTTCATCCATGAGGTAGTAATTTTAACGCAAATTAACCACAAGAATGCGGTTAAGCTACTAGGATGTTGCTTGGAAATTGAAGTTCCTCTCTCAGTTTATGAGTTCGTTCCTATTGAAAGTACCTTTCGATATATACATGACCAAATGGAGGAATTTCCACTAACATGGGAAATATGTTTACATATTGCTATAGAAGTTGTAGATGCTTTATCCTATTTACATTATGACGCTTCCATACCCATGGTCTAGTAACATTTTGGATTATGAATATCATGCAAAAAGTTTGGGGACTTCAAAAACTGTTGCAATTGATCAAACTCACTTAACCACTCAAGTTCAAGGGACTTTTTTTGGGTTAAACCCGATAATTGCCTCTCCCACGACTTGAAAACAAGACATTTTGAGTATAGCTAACCCCTATAGATAAAGGCCTTACCATCCGACTACAAAAGGAGAGATAAGTTCAAAGGACTTTTGGGTGCTTAGATCCAGAGTTTTATTTTTTATTTTTTTATCAAATATATTTACAGAGAAAACTGATGTTTATAGTTTTAAAGTAGCTCTTACCGAGCTTTTGACTGACTTAAAAAGTAAATATGTTTAACAAACAAGGAAGAAGATAAAAGTTTGGCAACATATTTTTTTTATGCAATGAAAGAGAGTTGTTTGTTTGATATCTCTGATGCTCTGAGTTATGGAAGGTGAGAAAGAAGAGATCATGATTATTGGTAATTTGGCAAAAACATGTTTAAACCTTAATGGAAAGAAAAGACCAATAATGAAAGAAGTAGCAATTGAATTAAAGGGACTTAGGTCATCAAATGATGCTTTCATTGTGCAACGAAACTATGAAGAACTTGATTTCGTTGATGATGAAATAAATTGATGTTTTGAAACTGGCACAACTTCTAATGGATCTTTTTTGAATAGTTTTACTCAATCTGTCGATGTTGAGCCTCTAATGTCGAACAAGTGATGATGAAAAGGAACAGGTTATCTGTCTTTTGATGTGTATTCCAATGTAGGAGGACTTAATTTAGAGTTGCAAATTGTTATGCCTGAAAATGTAGCGCTAACGCAAGTCTCAGTCAGCACAAAAGGTCAGAGCTTAGGTAGGCCCGCAGCTAGTCAAAGGCGGCCATGTCATACAATGACAAGGGCGGCATGCTCGCGTCAGGGTAGTGGGTGCGCGTTAGACCAGTCAGGAGCTATAGTGATTCCACGTGTCCAATCCCTGCACCAAATCGCGTAAATCACTCTGGAAGGTGAGCAATGGGACATAAAGAAGGATTTGCACGGATAATCCCACCAACTCACAGATTCAGTAATGATAACCTTAATCCATCCCACTATATATTAAGAGCTCCTCTCTCATTTAGGGGATTAGCTACTCTCTCGAAAGAAAAATAACATTCTCTCTCTTGTATAATCATTTGTAAGTCAGTCCGCTGAACGCGACCTGACCACTATCATTAATACAAAAATCAATGGACGTAGGATTTGCTTCCTTAGCATCTGAACCACTTTAAATGTTGTTCTCCATTGCATTTACTCTCACATTCACGTGTGTCTTCTAGGCCCGCTCAGCATTTCACACGTGCGTTTGATTGATGTCAAAATCACGCATCAACACAAATATTTGTTATGTCGTTGAACAAAGAGTCCTTTGGAGACCATTAATTTCATAATTTTTATTGAACTTATATATTTTATGTTCCATGTGTGATTAGATAACTAGTCCTTGTATGTACCAATGTACTGAAACCCGACCCAGGGTGTCACCTGGTTAAGAGGTCGGGTCCCAGGTTGATTGGTTAAACCGATAGTTTTACTGGTGATCCAGAAAGCTTAAAATCTAATAAACACACCCCTAAAAAATACATATCAGTCCCTATAATTTTGAAATCTAGTAAATACACCCTGACAGTTAGGTTTTCGCTTTTTCATCCAAATTCCAGTTGATTTCGGCTGCCAAAATTCAATCTGATACCACCACCTGAACCATCAGGTTCCATTCTACAAAACTCCTCTAACCCCGACACTTGGTAGCCCCTCATTCACCGACCGTGACTCGCGTATACCTTGATTTTTTCGGTTAAATTCCAATTGATCCCCACGGACAAAATTCAATCCGACACCACCACCGGCCTCCACTCTATAAAACTAGGGGTGTTCAAAAGCGGTTAACCGCTTTTTTGAACCGAACTGGTTTTTCGGTTTGGAGGAAAAACCGGTTTTGAACCGGTTTTCCCTTTTTTTTATAAAACTTATTTTTTTATTTTTTCCTAAATTAAATTGTAAATATAAATAATACATATCCAAATAAAAATTAGACATTCATATATATCCATTGACCACTACTAACAATACATTAAAAATATTATTATTTTTTATTTAATGTATAATATATAATATTATTATTTTTTATTTAATATATAATATATAATATTATTATTTTTTATTTAATATATATATATATTTTTTTTTTTTGTTTGTAAAACCGGTTCAAAAAACCGGTTTCGGTTAACCGCTTTTTATTTTTTCCGAACCGGAAATTCGGTTTTTTGAATTTTTCGAACCATAACCGAACCGTTTTTTCTGTTAACCGGTTTTTCGGTTCGGTTTTTGTATTTTTTTGAACACCCCTATATAAAACCCCTCGAACCTCAGCACTTGGTAACTCCACGTTTGCCGACGATCAAGTTAGGGTTTTCAGGAATAGTTGAAAGTGGTAACCAAACTAGGAGAAGGCCCTAGGTCTCATTCTGACCGGTTAAATCGGTCGGGCCGGGCTAGGTTTCAAAACAGAGCTATGTACCAGCACTTGTGCTATAAGAAGATTTCTTCCAAGAATGCTGAGCCCGATGGGACTTTAATGGGCCAATGCTGAGCCCAATGGGACTTTAATGGCCCGATTATGACCGAGCTGAAAAAACCAGCCCAACCTTAGCCAATTGAAAGCCATTCAACAGCCCACAAAATTAACCAAATTAGCAAATAACGGCAAGTAGAAGGGCAAAAGTAGAAGGGACAAACGTAGAAAAAAAAAAAAAAAAAAACAATTACTTTAATGACAGCTCAGGGTAACGCAAGGAACAACGGCAACACCATAACAGGTGACAACTCAAAAAAGCCATCCATAAAAGTCTTACATGTGTTGGGCTTACATTCATCACCCAGAATCAATCTAAAGAAAAGTTTTTTTTTTTTTTTTTCTCTCTCCTTGTAATCTAAATCCAATACAATCTTATAGCTTTCCAAACAAAAGATAATTTCCGCTTTTTCGATCCCACACTGTAAGTCTCCTCTTCTACTCCCTCTCTATCTTTTCCTTGATTCTCTCTTTACCCTTATCCAGATTCGCATTTTCCGTCATCCTACCAAAATAATTCCAATAAATTATTAAAGGATTTTGTTTTTGTTTTTGGATTTTAGGTATTTGAAATGATTTTTTTTTTTTTTTTTTGAATCTAGGTCTTTTGGAAGTGTGTCTGCGTTTCTTTTTTTAATTTTGATTTAATGATGTTTATTTGTGTGGATGAAAGTATTTTTGTTGTTTAATTTTTTAGATTAATTGGATTGAAGGCTTCAGGGTTTGACTATTATGATACTATTCACTTAACATTGAGTTTATGGATAACTGAGTGTGAGTTTGATTTTTTTGTGTTGGGGAATTGTGGAGTTGATTTGTGCGTTATTGTGGGGTTAAACAATATAAAAAGAAGTCTGTATAATCAGTTCATTTCTTCGTTTTTATTTAGTTTTGTGGTGACTATGAAAGAAAGTTTATGGAATTTCGATTGATAAACATGAAAAATCTTTGGTTATGTGGTTGTTGTATGTAAGATAGGTATTGCTGGATAAGTGGTTGCTTAATATCATAACAGATTGGTCCTTAGTTTACTGCATTGTTTTGGGTTGGAGCAGTTGTGTTTGGATGAAAGTTGAAACTAGTCTATTTGGTTTTCTAGGGTTGCTGAATTTTGTTTCCATAATTTTGAACCACTGCACTCTAGCTGAACTTCAACTGCAAATTTAGTAAATTTTAGTTAAAGTTCACTTGATATTTCATTTTTTTCTTAATTTCATGTTTTAATGATTGTGGCTGATTCATTTTAATCATATGGGGTTTTTAGTGTTATGGTTTTAGTGCAAAAATGGATATAATTTTGATTAAGCTATTTGCAGCTGTGGTGTATCTTTTTTAAAAAACTTTCATGAAATTGCATACATAAATGTTCACTCATTGTTTTTATGTATGTGTCATGGAAAAGTTTTGGAACATCCCTCAAGAGCTGGGAGTAGCTGAAGCAGAATTTCTCAGTGACCGTACTAATTTTTCAGATATTTTAGTGTAGTTATTGTAGCTTTAGTGTGATACTTCACTAAGCCGATGTATGGAAAATAAAAACAAGGTTTCTTGTTGAAAAATGGATGTCTAAGATATCTAACATTTTTCATGTGGTTGAACTTTTAGGGCAATCATGAGTGACAAGGGAGAAAAGACATGCCCTCTATGCGCTGAGGAAATGGATTTGACTGATCAGCAATTGAAGCCATGCAAATGTGGTTATGAGGTTTGAGCATCTATCCAATACATAAAGTTCATGTTGCCAACAATACATGGGTTGTTTAATTTTTTCTGTAATTACTTGTTGTTTATTATCTTTATAGATATGTGTTTGGTGCTGGCATCACATTATGGAAATGGCTGAGAAGGATGGCACTGAGGGTCGCTGCCCTGCATGCCGTACTGCTTATGACAAAGAAAAAATTGTGGGGATGGCAGCAAAATGTGAAAGGTTATTATGGTTATTGTTACTTTCCTAGTTAATTTCTAATATTATGTTATTGCCTATTACGGTAGAAACACATTCTTTGTTGTACAGGATGGTGGCTGAAATAAATTCAGAGCGTAAACAGAAATTGCAAAAGGCAAAGCCTAAAGCATCTGAAGGAAGGATGCATCTTAGTAATGTTAGAGTTATTCAACGGAATCTAGTGTATATAATTGGATTACCACTTAATCTTGCAGATGAGGAAGTATGTAGTTTTTCCCTATTGTGCATCTCATTGTTGTTCCTGTGGGTGTTTTAGTGGAAAATGATGCTATTGTTTCTTTTATTTTAACATGCTGTTATCTTTTGTTTTTATTTATTTATTTGTCTCAACCAGCTTCTTCAGCGAATGGAGTACTTTGGCCAATATGGAAAGGTTTTGAAGGTGTCCATTTCTCGTACAGCAACTGGGGTTATTCAGCATTCTGCAAACAACAGTTGTTGTGTGTAAGCTGATTGACCGTCTGTGTCTTGAAATTCTGAACTTAATGTGGAATGAACTATATTTGATTTTCTTCACCATCTTTCTATTTGATGGGCATCACCTTTCTCTAGTGAATCACATGCAAGGATTAGAGTTTGCTAAGTTTTCTAGTTGGCCAAATCTTGAATCTTCGTCAGGTGTTGTTCCAGGTTGTTTTTAATCAGTGTTTTACTCACTTTGTTATAATAATGCTGGTGATTATGTTAGGTACATTACATACACAAAAGAGGAGGAAGCAATTCAATGTATTCAGTCAGTGCACTGTTTTATCTTGGAAGGTAGACCTTTGAGGTAAGCATTCTTATGATTAACTTGTAGGGCTTTAAGTCCATAAGACGACTAATTAAGAGTTATGACCCTTCTTTTGCAGGGCTTGTTTTGGAACCACGAAGTATTGCCATGCTTGGCTAAGAAACATGGTAACAATTTTTTACATTCCAGTTCCTTTTTGTTTTTAAGAACTAACTTAGTTGCCTTTCTGATCAATGTTTTTGTTGATCCAGCCTTGTAGCATCCCAGATTGTTTGTATTTGCATGATTTTGGCTCTCAAGAAGATAGTTTTGCCAAGGATGAAATTGTTTCAGCCTGTACAAGGTATAATTGATTTTTCATGTATGAAAGTGTGTTTAGTTCAAGGGCCATGCTCTCTATGTTGCATGAAAACAATTTTAACAGTTTTCCTGATGGCCATCGACTACTTTGGTCATGTGTTGATGTTTTTAAGCAATTTACATAAAGATGTGTTTTACAAACAATTTGATCGTTCTTTCTCAGTGGAAAAGACTGAGAGTGACTGGGTTCTTCTCATCAGTTCGTTTTACCTTGAGATGAAAAATTATTATAATCTTGGAAAAGAATGTGACTTAAATCAGAAGCAGTGTAACCAAATTTTATCTTTATTTTCTAGTTGCTTCAGACTGGGATTCATTCGTAATATCATATTACGAATAATTTTCTCTTATAAAAAAAATCATAATACAACTTTCATAAAAAAATTTGATTTTAATCATGGTTTTGAGAATTAAAAAAATAAACAAAAAATTGAATGATTAAATTAAGATGAGACAAACATAATATGGGATGTTTTATCATTCAGAATGTTGAAAGCTTGGAAAAAATGACATTATGCAATTTATTATGACCTTAAACTGAGCAGCTAGCAGCAGTGAAAATGCTAAAATGTTGCTAAACTTGAGTATTGATGGTGATTTATTGATGTCTAGGAGATGGGTTAGCAGATATTATGTTTAGATGTTATAATATCTAGAGATTAGTGAGTGGTTGTTTGTTCTGGAAATTATTTGCTTAGATGATTTGCTGATTGATACTTCTAATTTAGATGGTTTTGTGGTATAAGCTGGCTATGAATCTAATTTCTATCATGCTGATTGATTTTCAATTTCTTTAAAAAAAAATAGAGAAGTTTTGAGGTACTGCACAGATATTATTTACCATTTAATTCCCTTCTACCTATTGGTTGATAAATTAATTCTATCCCCTGTTTAGGGTTTTTTTTTCAGTTTTTAAAGACCAATTTGCTTGCTTTTATTTGTGTCTTGTCCTTCTTCCTTCCAATTTCTCTCCTTCCCTCTACTCACTCAAAGTTGGTTGTGAAAAAACTTTTCTGCTTTTTCTGGTGCTTGATTAGCTGTGCTTGATATCTTTATCATGTTCTGAACTAAGTGCCTATGGTTATAAAGGAGTAGAGTTCAACAAATTGTTGGTGCCACAAATAATATGCATCGACGCTCAGGAGATGTTTTACCTCCCCCAGCAGATGATTATATCAATAGCAGCTTAACTTCAACAGCCAAACCTATTGCCACTAATTCTTCAAATGTAAGACTGCATGTAATTTGCTCCTTTTTTTCCCTAGAAAACATGGTCTTTTTTCGCAGTTATATTTTGGATAATACATTTACATTGGGCAAATTATTATGAGGCAATGCTTAGTGATATATCATATGTAAAAATACGGGGTGAGTGTTACCAATATTTTACATGCAGAACTTCGAAAATACTATCAGGTTATAATGAATTTGAAATTTATGTTAATTTTGATTGTATTTATGCATCGGTTCTACAGTTTTATAGAGCTTTGTTTTCTGTTTCCTGCAGAATATTGACAATCAGAGTAAGGGATATTGTGCAGATATTGGTGCTGGAAAATCTAATTCGCTTCCTGCAGCAACCTCATGGTATCCTATTTTCCAATCCATGGAGTCCTGAATTTGATTTCGTGTGATATGATGGCTTATTTTTCTAAATTTTCTTTACCAGGGTCATGCGTGTCTCGGCTAGTCTGCCACCAAATAAAAATTTGTCTGGTTCAGGTCAACCTCCAAATGATCAGCCTAAGATATCTAATGGTCTCCAAGTCCTTAAATCAGATACCGTAAGCACCACTAGATCTACCCACAATGTAAAGTTGATGGAAGCTGAAGCAAATTGTGAAGTTCTTGGTTCTAAGTTGAATTCATTGGAATTGCAAAAAGAACATATCAATGGTGATTATCAAATTGATTTATCAAATAGAAATGCAGAAGTTATTTTGGGTACCACTCCTGCCACTTCAACAACCAAGAACCACTCGCCTTATCTGCCATCTTCAAATGGCAGTGAAGCAATACCTCTACAACATAAGAAATCCCTCTCTAGTCCTAATTCTGTTGAGAATGAAAATCATCATGTTATTAGGGATATCCAGGGTTTATGCTCTGGGTTATCGTCATCTGGCCTTCAGAATCACATTAAGAAAGAGTACTCTGTTCCTGTTGTAAACAGTTCATCTTACAGTCATGCTTCAGTGAACATGCTTGAAAGTCAAGGTTCACAAGAAGATATCAGCGAGCAATCTAGTGAGTCTACAACATCTCCAGCATCCAATGGAGCTCCAACAGATTTTTTAGATTTTGATGATCGACAATTGAAGAGCTTAAAAGGCATCCATCATCAAGCATCCATGTCTTCCTCACCTTGTTCGCTGCAGAATTTAAATCAGTCAAGCTATAGTTCTTGGCAGTCAGGTGATATAAACAGTCATAGTAATCTTGATGCACATACTGGAATTGCACCCATGAAATATGATAGAGTTTCTTCTCCATTGATATCTAATGGGTTCTACAACAACAAAGTTAGTAGCTTTGTTAATTTGGATGCAAGTGTCGACCATTCCGGAGTATTTTCAGAGGTGGGATTAGGAAACTACTTGGAAAACTATGATAGTAAACCACCTTTACATAATAGTGTTGCTTCAGATGTTGGAGAGAGCAGCATAATATCAAAAATTTTATCTATAGACTCAGATTCATGGGAAGATTCATTGACATCGCCATCCAGTTTAGTTAAGTTGTTGAGCAAAAATGATCAACAATATAATTCTCTTAAAATCCCAAGCTTGTTCAAAGAATCAGAAATCAGGCAATCTAGGTTCTCATTTGCTAGGCAAGATGATTTCTCCAATCACACATCTGATTTGGAGCAATCTGTTCGTGATATCAGGCATTCAGTGAAATGTCATGCCTCAAACGATTTGATGAAAGGCAAGGATTTTTGCAGAGATGAATATCGGAATATCTTTTCATCAAGCAGCTCTATGGAATCTGAGAATTTTCCTGGCTGTTATTCTTCCATATCTTCTTCTGGTTAGTCTCATTTAACTTGTTTCTGTTTTTTTTCTTCATCTTTTCCTTTTTCTAGTTTACTGCCATTCCATTGAATGTCAATGGAACTTTCTGAAATAATTATTAAATGGCTATAAGAAAGAAATATTCATGTTATGTTGATTATTGGTTGGATCTTTGCATGCAGTGTTATGTGCTTTCTATTTTTTGTATTGCTGATCAACTGAAGTTTGTTTCCTTTTCCTCATTTTGTCCCCTGGCAGTATTTTTACTCTTTTCGTTATATTGGTGTTTTAAATATTTAGTTCTTTAAGATTCTTCCTGAAATTCTTTGCTCCATTGCCTTTTTAACAGTTTCAAAAGCTCCAACTTCAGCCCCCCCAGGATTTGCAGTACCAAGTAGGCCACCCCCTCCAGGTTTTTCTTCTCATGGGACAATGCACAAGACTTTTGACAGTTCTGGTTTGTCTTTCCTCCCTACTCTTTCTAGGAAAGGGAATATCTTGTTTGTTGCTTCTAATATTCCTATTCTGTTGGATCTCTTTGCAGTGGGTACGAGTCAGTTGCTACATACCTCTGCACAACCAGTTAGAAGCAGTTGCAGAAATGGGGATGTTGCATTTTTTGATCCTGCAATAATGGATGTTGGTCAAGGGATACATGCAGCAGGGATTAAAAATGTAGGCTCTGAAATGAGGCAAACTTCATCTCCAGAGCTTAATTCTTTTGACCATGATGCAAGGCTTCAGCTGCTGATGAGACAATCAATTTCTGATAATCAGAATCTACAGTTTCCAAACCATTTAGCGAACAGATTCGATTTGGCGAATAATAGATTTTCTCCCCCAAATGATACTCGCCGTATTTCACCGATGCTTTATGATCAATCACAACCTAATAATCCATCTGCATTTGTGCTATCGACAGCCCAACACTTTAGAAATGCACACATGTCAAGTGGCCATTTGGGTGATTGGAATGAGGTTAAGAGCATTAGTGATCTGGGTGTGTCAGATTTCATGACAAATGGGGGAGCTGGATATAACAATTTTATTCCCAGTTATGAGGATTTAAAATGTCAGATTTCCAGTCCCAGTAATCTGTACAACAGAGGATTTGCGATGTGATTTTTGGAACGGTAACCCCTCTTAATGCTTTGAGGGAATAACAAATTTGATCGGGTCAGCTTCCCTTGTCCTGAATGAACCGTGCTCCCCCCCCTGATCCTACACATCAGTTTCCTGGTAACACCCAATGAGAAGCAACCTTTCTCTTTTCTGTGACCGGAAGTCACATTTTATCTGAAATGAAGGAATTAGGTTATGATGTCGATAGACTAAAGACTGGAAACTGCGGTTGGTGTATGTGCCCATGAGAGTGGCAAGCTCTGAGGATGGATCGAGCTCTCAAATTCACTTCACGTGGTAAGCCTTAACCGAACCTAGTAAATATTCCTTTAGTGGACTGTTTATTAATGTGCTTATGTGAAGGTATGACATTGAGAACCAAAAGAAGTTGGGGTGGTGAATACATGTATATGCTCATTACAAACTCTTGGTGTTTTATGTTCTTGCTTGTTTGCAGGTGAGCTGCTATGGGCGACTGCAATTTGCCACTGGCAACTTTGTCAAGACCTTATGAATGATTGTCATATTCTGCAACCGGAGAAACCCAAAAAAAAAAAAAAAAAAAGAATCTGGGTGGTTACATCTTGTTTACAGGAATCTGTTTGATGAAAAATATGCCATAATAAAAATTGGATTCCATTTGAAATCAAACATTAACGAAATAAGCTTTTGCCTTCTGACTTGAAGCAAGAACAACCTTGAGCTGGGCCTGGTAAAGAATTGCTTTCAGAGGTCTTAATTTTGTACTGCAATCTGAACATTAATGCCATCCTGGTTTCTTTAAGATGTTACTTGGGGTGAGAGATGCCCTGGGAAGCATCATTTCAATTGTGAAAAAATTCATCTTGAAACTGTGACACCCATAGAGAATTTGGAAGCTGAGTTGAAGACTTTTATTTAACTTGTTCTGTATCTGTATATTACTGTTTCAGTGATGAAATCCCCAAATCAAATTTTTTTTCGAGTTACAAAAAACTAAAGAATTTATGATAGTAACATGTATGTTCATCTAACTATTTCTGGGTTGTTAAGTGGTTTGATAGAGATTTTTAGTTATTCAAGAGGATTTGAATTTGAGTTTTTCTTCCATTGTTAATAAGAGTAATTTATGAAGTTGTTCTCATAGATTCAGAGTCTTTGGGGGATTAATTGAGAAATCATGCTATTAAAATCCAAGTGAAAACGACAAATCCAAGTGAGAACGACTGAAAATTGGAACCAAGAATCACCAGGCTGGCATGTCGAAGTTGGCCCTTTGTTGCTATTCAATGTATTCAAAACTTGTGCTACAGAAAACGAAAAAAAAGAAAGGGCAGTATTATCCATCATGATAATTGAAATCTTTTTTACCTTATTGAACAGGGACAGGACTTTGATGATCTACAGATGGATTTCATTGAAAAAACAAAAAAGAATTCGGGATAGCACTGTGGTTGAGGGAGGGGCCTAGCCAACCAACCAATTTTAAGAAGTGATAATAATGTGGAGACAAATCCTATGAGAGAAGGCTCCATTTCCATGAATCCACCGGTAAGGAAAGTTAGGAATGGTAGGAATTACTGTAAGGCTTACATCATCCTGCTGCTCAAGCAGTTGAACAATAATGGAACACTATGTTTGTACTAAGCTTAGCCTCCGGTTTTGTTCTTTCTCCACTAAATAAATGCATGCATTGCTCCCCCAGTCGAGTCCAGTCCTTTTCAATCAAACCTAACCTCCATCTTCCCACTTTAACCCACTAACTCACCCTTGACCTTTATTCATCCTCCCTACTACTTCTCAAAACTTGCATCATTATCCATCCAACTCTGGGGCTAAGTTTCAAGCTACCAGCAATCTTTGAAAAGTATAAACATCGTTACGAGATGTTTAATATATTTTGAAAAACTATAGGGATGTTTAAGACTTAATTATCTATGGTGGAATTGATGGTATTAATCCAAATTCTATTCATAAAGTTAATTTGGATCCTTTACCATGTTTTCTGCTGGCTATAACTCAAAAATAGACAAGATAAATGAGTTTATTTATTTAGTTCATTCCAAAAATTCACTTTTGTGGGTGCTTTATTTGTGTTCTTTCAACTTAATAATATGCACATCCTATGAGTTTTATGTAATCATTGACAGATCAAAAGTTTAACAAGATAAACAATCCTTTAAATTCATTCAAGCTTTCAGCTTTTGTTTGACAAAATTAGAATTAGTGCCAGCAACAAGCATATTAAAAAAAAATAACTTTTATCAATTAGGGTTCATACCTATCGGTCGTATAAGAGTTTCAATGACCATCCTTATTAATAACCGATGAAAAACTCAAACTCAGAATCTCTTGAATAATACATCGAATCACTCCATCACCCAAGAGTTGGTTGGTTCATTGTTTTTCAGTAAAATGGAGGCAAATTAAGACCCTTATTTTCATTTCATCACCATTCACTTATTCCTTCATTCTTTGTGTTATGAACCAAAGGCCGTACCCATGATCCCAAAAACCTATTCGGGGAACGTCCATGTTCCATGATAGATTTTTGTCAGTTTTTAATTTACTGTATTGTCATTTGATGCTGCAAAACTTCTGGGCTCTGCAATGCAAGTGACGCAACAAGGACGAGCGTCACGAGCCTGCGAGCAAACAGTAGCGAAACAGTAAGGCTATATATAAAGCTGGAACGAGAGTACCATGGAAAAATAAAAGAAACGCGTGCAGGAAAGTAAATATAGAAGAAAAAACCGGCCAAAACTTTGGATGTTATTAAACATGATAAAGCTTTGATTTGTCACATCAATAAACAAGCGTGATTTTATACTCCATCTATTATACTATTTTACAATTTTACATCAATATAAATTTTTAATTATTTTAAATTTTTATATTATAATAAAATAGTGATAATGTAATAAAAATGATGTAGTGAATAGTATAAATATAACATTATTCTTTATAAATTAACTAGATTTTTCAATGTGTAGTTTCTTTAATTAAACGACTTTTTCTCACTTAAGGTTTGCCTTTTTTTCATCCAAAAGTTTCAAAATATTACTTTTTTACTCAAAATTTATATTTTGTTAATACTCAAAGCCAATTCTGATGGTAAAAATTCTCTTTGTCATCCACCATTTGAACCTTCGATCTTTTCTCTATAAAACTTCTTTCATTCTAGCACCTAATTTCTCTTTGATTATCGACTATCCTAAAGTTAATGTTTTTTATTCTTAGTTAATTTTTAACTAATTTCAGTAACAAATATTTAATTGGTCATCATACTTCAGTCCATCTATCTTTACTTTATAAAACTTCTTTTACTCTTGCTCTTGATTACTCGTCCAATAATGGTTGGAAAAATAAAGTATGTTTTAGATATTAACTAAATATAGACTTGGGCGAAAAAAATGGTATTTTGAAAATTATTAGTTGGAAAATGATCATTAAGGCAAAACTTATGTAGGAGAAAGTCGTTTACTCCTTTAATTATTACAAAACAAAAGTAATTTCTTGGCCACTGCGTGCGCCCTTTATGGGACAATAAAATGAAGCAAAGGAAAAGAAAGGGAGATTTTATGTGGGGAGATATGGTCTGGTTTCGTAGGATAATTAAAGGAAGCAATACTGTTTTTAGCCGACACGAAAATGAATGAAATGAAAGAGACAAAACAAAACAGAATGAGTTATCTTGTCAAGTGAGGGGCCACTTTTACAGCTCAATCATCGATGATCTATAAAGGTTTCACTTTACAGACTGACAGAGGCATATTCATTCATGGTTTTTCTAGTAAATTTTATTATATCCATTTATGTATGTGTTCAGATGAAAAGATATATGATGAAGAAGAAGAGAGCGTGTAGAATACATGAACCTACACCCCATTATCAATATGCAACAGATTAATGAAGAGGAAAAATCAAGTTATAATTATAAACTTGAATCAATTTTTATTCATCTCAAACAACAGCTAAGTTACTAAAGCCTTTGATGATGCACAATGAATGATCTTTTCTGTATCTAATGAATGGAGATTCTGTTTTGAAATCGTTTGTTCTATCCTCATCCCTCGAGTATATATATGTTTCAACTTGAATCACACAATAATAAATAGATACAATATAAATTTATAGTAAAATATTTTCATGTAACTTAATCAATAAATACATGATATAGTTCGTTTTAGGGATTGACGACTTATCGGATGAGACTTGGATAGGATTTATATACATTCTTGGTATGGAAAGGATTAATTCGACCATCTAAATATATATTGTATTTCTATATAGATCCCCGTGTCTATACACCTCATTTAGAATTAGGAATTAACGTCATATTTCAGACTATAACGAATTAGTTAGTTAGTACGAGTACAACAAAAAAAGGGGTACGAATTAGTTAGAAATACAAGCATAATACAGCAAATGGTGAAAAATACATTTGTAAAAAATCAGCCATAAAATTCAGATACGGGAAAAATATGGTACAGGTATATACAAGTTTAATACCGCACATTGTCAATAATATGTTTTAAAAAATACGGCAATATCAATCCTGATTTTAGCACTTTTTATGGACCATCTGTTTAAAATCAACATAGCATTTTAAATATACAGATACGAAAAAAAAAGGTATGAGAATTTTACGAGTATAATATGATAAATAATAAAGAATAAGTTTGTAAAAATTTGCCAAAAATTCTGATATGGGAATAATCTGCGAATAAAACGTATGGCATATAATTCGCGAATAATATGATTGGGTTTATAAAATACAAAAAATTTGCAAATTATACGACTGGGTATATAATTTGCGAATTTACTAACTAGGAAAGAAATACAAATGAGTTTATTCATTGGATATTTTTTTTATGATTAGATTGTTCGGTTGAGCTTGTGTGCACTTCATTTAATTATTAGGACGCAGAGAATATTTATAAGTTTAATATTTCTAAATAAGTCATAAATATGATAAATGGACTCAATGTAATTTGAACGTATAAATTAAATGAAGAAAATAAAATTTCTTGACCTTCAGCCAAGAGCCAACCCTTGGAGTTCACTAGATATCATATAACTCTTGATTCTTGATAAATCTTCATAAATTTTATAAGTGATAAAGAGAACAATTTTTGTTAAAAATGATCTTACTCTAGTATAGCTGATTAGAAATACCAGGCGTTTTGATGTGGATTCATCCATAAAACAAGAATGCGTTCGGTTTGATAACGATGGAATCCTAAACTTAAGATAGATAATACAAAGAACTCGTTTTACATTATTGAAAATAATTTATTTGTGAAAAGTATTAAACGGAGTCAAACTTTTGGGCTTGTGATTTTCTTTTTCTCTTTAACTTTGGCACAGAAAATCTTGCTGGTCCTTTAACCGAGATACGCATGATATATATATATATCCAACCCAGAAAATCACAGACAGTAGGCACACGTTGAATACTCAAGAGGACATTTAATGCCTTCTTATAAGAGTTCAAATCAAAACCCCGCGCAGAAAAACCTCTTCTCATGAAATGAGTTCAATGCAAAATAACAAAGGGCCAGCCCCCTGGAAAAACAGGTAAGATAAATTGCAGAAATGAAGAGTTCCTGATAGGGTGGTTTTTTAAACCCTGGAAAAAATCAAAGTTGTTACTGTTCACACGAACAAGTACATCAGGCTTTTGGGTTTGCTTTTATAATAAAACAGTCTATGGAGGAGGCGAAACTTTTCAGCTTTTGGAGCTGGTGGTACTAGGTCCTCCTTCAACCGGAAACAAAGCCGAGGATTGCGGAAATCTAGTAGAAGGGCCCTCGCAGGAAGCTCCGGAAGTTGGACACGTGGAATTCTGGTGGATGGGCTATAAGACAAAAGGTAAATTAAAGTGTTTCTGACATCTTTGCTTTTCTTTTGTTTGTTTTATGGGAATTGCTTTTCTCAGGAAAACAAATATTTTACACTTTCACCCACAAATCATTAAAAAGTAAAAACATCCATTAATCTTCCTAGGATTTTTATGTATTATTATCATCATTAAGTGATGTTCCCCCATTCTTGCTTTAGAATTTTGAAACTTTGTAGGTTTTGTTATGAAATTTCAACTCTGTCTCTGTCACTTTCTCTGTGGGGAAGAAAATTATCTTGAACATACTGAAGTCCATGATTACTTTTTTTAGGCACAACTAATTAATTAAACTTCAATGTCTTCAGCTTGGTAGGTTAGTTTCATCATGGATACTTGTGGTGGTTTTGGTTTACAAAAAAATAATTAAGCGTCAACCTTGAATGAGAATGGCTAGTTCCAAGTCTTGATTTCTAAGTGTGGGTGTCCGAGCATCCTCGGACCCTAAAGTTGAGGGTAGGATAAATTATTTCAATGGTCTATTAGAGTCTCTAAAGATTTGGAACTTATGTTAATCCTTTTGTTAGATAAATCATGTTAATGGTCAGGGTCTGTGAAAACTTGAAACTTATGTTAATCCTTTTACTGTTTTACCATTGGTTAAGTATTTTTATCATTGAACTTGAGAAAGGAGCATAGATAAAATATATCTCAGAATTATATAAAATGTTCTCAAAATTCGACAAATCAAGAGGAAAACAACTCTGATTGGACCATTTTTTGGCGTTTCATCACATCCCAAAAACAACTAGATGATGAGAATAAATGGTGTAATAGAAATAAGTTAACAAACTTCTTCATTAAAGAGCTGAAAGACATTCAGAAAGTACAAACACTCAACACACTAGAATGCAAACTAGATTCACTGCATCAACATAATATGTAGAGTTCAACTATTACAAGCTATTTTTCAGAACTTGACTTATAACAAGACTTCTTGCAAACCAAACTTTTCTGCTCTTTCCAGCTGTTTTTCCTTTCCTGAGAGCCTTGGCAAAACAACACAGATTTTCTGAGCTCAAACATGTCCTGAGTGGAACATGCTTCTTCCTCTTTTAAGGAGATTAAATTGAAGTTCAGACAGAATAACACTCGGGAGTTACATATGAAAGAAACATGGATGGCTAAAACACACTACATTAAGAACTGATTAAATCCACACAATGTAACTACTGTTGCTTTTCATTTCTTTTACCACTCAGCCCCTGCGATAGTACCAAGGGGGGTTGTGAGGGATGTCACGGGGGATGCAGGAGGTGTTGTAGGGGGCGACGTTGGTGTTTGAAAGAGAATAAAGGTGGCGAAGGATTGCTGAATTTGGATAGTCAAATTGATTAGCGGCAGCTGAAGGTACAGTGAATTTTGTAGCTGAGAATCCTGATGATGCTGCAGTAGAGAAGATTGGCACAGAAGGGGGTCCCTTGTACGTGGCCTCAGATTGCCATGCCCCTGTGGGATTCTTCTCTATTGCTCTTTCCTGTAAACAACAAAGTTGAACCAACAACAATGTGAGACAAGTGTGGAATCGTACATCAGCAGGAAACATTTCAAAAATACGAAAATGTCTCCATATTCGGTCAAGCATTAAAAGTTCATATCTATCACGATCAATCGGCTAATGAATAGACAGTGGAATCACCTGATAGACTGGAAAGGAAGGGGAATATCCACCACTCCAGGTAGGAGGGTTCCCAGACACCATAACAGTCCCATGCTGTGATGGAACCTTCATTGTTGCTGGTATAAAACTCCCAGTCTGTCAAGTACAATAAATGGATCTTAAGTAAATTAACTAAAGATCTTGTAATCTATGTAATTCAACATTTAGGAGAAGTTCACATGTCCACATCAACATTACCCCAGCCCCAAAATCAATGGGCATCTCATTCCGGCCATTCGGATTGCTCTTCTCCTTTTGGCCCCCAGGCGAATGAGAGGGAGCAATTCCCAAATTCAGGTCAAGATTCTCATTGACCACTGTATCAGAAATCATTAAGAGTTCACATTAAAGCTTTACTAACACACATTAAAAAACAAATTATTAACCACTGAAACCAAGTAAATACCAGCGCCAGTGTCAACAGTCATCTCTTCCTCATACAAGCTTGAGGAAAAGTTGGTGACCGCGTCATTTCCATTGAATTTCAAGGCAGCCCTGTCATAAGCCCTGATTTCCAAGATAGTAAAACATCAGATTTAGAAGAAAATAAAATTTAGACATAAACCATAAAGGTTGATTTCAAATTCATCTAGACCTCGCCGCTTCAATCTCGGTGTCGAACAGCCCAAGATATACATACCTGCAAAGCAAGAGATGATTTCCAAGTTCTTAGTTCATTTCACAACTTTAAAGCAATTGAAAATAAATTGAAATGACTTCCAAATATTATAAAAAACAGAATCATTAATTAAGAATAACTAGAGAAATGCCTCAACAAGAGTAGATTAGAGTGAAGAGTATCTTACTTCCTGCCCAGAAACTGCCCCATTCGAGCTTCCCATCGCCCACATTTGTGCAGGGTCACTCCCCTGTACTTCGACGATCCTCGAGAAAAGCCATTGCTATTGCGGCGCAGAACGTTCACAAATTCTTCTTTTGAGTAAGAACTCATCTGCAAAAAATAAAAACGAAAGAAAAATCAAGCAAAAAGAAAACAACTAAAATATTAATAAGCTCTTTAATTAACTAACCACTTGTATAACAATGTAAATTCAGGTCTTCAACGTACCGATTGAATTTCTTCACTGTAATCGCCAATATCAAAGTTTATATCGGCATCAACACCACGAAACTTGATTGCCGCTCGATCATATGCCCTAAATCATAAGAAAAAATTTCTCCACTATGGCATCATAATAATCATACCAAAAAAACACTAACAAAACCAAAGCATTTTAAAGATTATATACCTTGCCGCAGTAAGAGCCGTGTCAAAACCTCCTATAAAAATTCAAACTTTAGCATCAGACACAGCATTAAAAAGCCGATTTTTTATGATTACAATATAACCCAACTGACAAAAAATTACACAACACAAGAAAACTCACCCAAGTAGACTTGCTTTCCACAATCCCTGCAAAAAATGAACAAAGAAAAATCAAATCAAAGTGTGAATTTTCAAAAATCTTTGAAATAAAAAATCAATTTTTTTATTACTAGTTTAAGATCACTGACCAGATATGGGACTCCCATCTCCCAGTCCGCCTGTAAAACGTAACACCGCGATACTGCGAGCTTTTTGACCTCGGTCCTCGCCGGCTTTTCTTCATGGGCTGCGGCTGGGGCTTTAACTTGTTAGAAGCGTTCAGCCCGTCAAGAAGATGATTCAAACTGTGAAGTCTATTTGAAAGTGAAGGCTTCCCTTTACCCTCCGGAAAAAACTGAATGGTGGCGGACGTGTTGTCCACCTCTTCACCGTCACACAGTTGCCCAACAGTATCATAGTTGGTGTTGTAATTCTTGTCATCATGGTTGTTGACTTTCAAGATACTGAAAGAAAGAGTGGGAGCGTTTAACTCGGATGAAGAGGAGTAATTTTCAGAACTGTCTCCATTGAGGACGGTGGAACCCAAACTCCCAGAAGAGGAGCTTGAACCACCAGAAGCCACAGTAAGGTTAAGATCCAAGATTACCATGAAAGTAAGCTTTGAACGTGAAATTGGAAGGGTCTGATAGGAGTTAGCTAAAAGAAAGAGAGAAAAGAGGAAGAGGTGGGTGTGTGAAGAGTGAAGAGTGATGTTCAGCTTGTGGTTGAGTTGAGTTATAAAGTGTGAAAGAGGAGAGCATAGAGGCTTTAGCCGGCTAAAAGCTAGAATTGAGGCCGGTTTTGGGATTCGATTTCATGGAGAGAGAAAGAAAGAGAGATGGGACGTAAGAAGGAACAAGTCGCTGCTGCTATGTTACTGTTTGAGTTTCGATATTACGATTTTTTTATTTTATTATTTAGTTTCAGATCTTTTTCCTTTTTGGCGCGTGATTCTCATATCTAATTTATGCAATGTTGATTAATCATTAATGATTTTTTTTCATCATCGGTTTTTTAAATATTATTTTATTATCTAAATTTTTTTTTTTAATAATCCTTCGGTACCATCATTATTATTCAACAAAATCCCTCCAATCGCACACAATCAAACAACTAAGTTTTACGTAATCATCCTCTTAAATAAAATTTTAATTAATTCTAATTACCAAAATCTAATATTCTATCATCAAAAGAATTATCAATCTTTTTTTTTTTAAAACTCTAACAATTTAGATCGAATTTACTCCTTGTTCACATTTAAAATATAAATTTAGTATAAATTTAAATAATAAAATGATATTTTAAAATTTGATAAGTTAAAAACTGTTATTAAAGAATTATTTGGGTGGGAAAATGTAATTTTATCGAAAGTGGGGCGGAAGCATTTGATGGTGACTACACATTTCATCTGTGTTGACTAAACTGTTTCAATGGAGGTCCCCCTTTATGATTACACACGTGTCAAGCGGCAAGAGGCCCGTGCTATAAATTAAATCTACCGCTTGGTTCGGTAAATATTTTAATTAAAATAATTAAAATATTTAAGTGTTGATCCTTAAAAAAAATGAAAATGACTTGTTCTTAAAGAAAGTTTAATTTTGAAAATTTTAAATAATTAAGTGGATCCGAAGGCAGCTAATCACATTAAAGTTTATTTTTAGAAAATGAAAAAGAAATAATGTCATATAATTATTGTGGGGCCTAAATCAAAAGTGACACCTCAACTACCTTAGTTACCCTAGGATTGCCTACATTCTCATCCAAGGAAGAATACTAAGTTTATACTTTATTCCAATATTTTAAGAGAAAATATTTTCTCACCCAAAATTTGGTGAAATAAGGCTTTCCCACCTATTAAGTTTTAAAACGACACTTTCCTACCTGTTTATTAGAGATGGGGCGTGGGACAAGATGGGGATGTTAGGGAATCCCCCCATCCCTCGCCTTGAAGGTCGAGGATTTGCGGGTATTAATCCTTGTAGGGAATTTTCCTCAAACGGGGAATTGTTTCAAACTTTTTTTTTATATTGATTTTGTATAATTCTTATGTGATAAATCATAAAACATAGTAAAAAAAAAATTATATATATATAATTAATAAATTTTTTTTAATTTAAGAAAAAATTGGTAAAGGGGCATAAATTATAATCAAATAATAAGAAATTACTAATATAATTAGGGGATACATCAACAATTCAACTTCATAATTCATACATCAAGTCTTTGTAATTTGTAAACCATTAAATAAAAATAAAATAATGTTTTTTTCAATTGAAGATATGATTCTAAATTCAAAAATCTTAGTTGTATTTTAATGTTTAATATAATACTAAGTTTTTAATTAAATATTATAGAGAATTAAGAAAAACATTTAACATTTTCATAAAATTAATAAAAGTATATTCAATCTTAATATAATTTACTTGGTGAATTAACATTTTCATAGATCGATTTTATTATTTGACTCTCAAATCTTAACATTTTCATTGATTCAATCTTAAATTTATTCAATTCAAAACTTCATCTCCATCATGGAAGAATTAATTTACCGCTTCTGTAAATTAGACCGCATGCCTTTAAGTTACTTTTTTTCCATAATTAAAATATACAGTAATATATTTAAGAAAACAATCACAAATTTTGATAATTTGATACATGACTAAAAATCTTAGATCATGGGATATATATATATATTGTTGACACTTGATTTTGGACGCCAACTACTTGCACATAGGAAACGTTGAGCTGACTCAGGAGACACACGTGAATGGAATCATGAGATTTGAATATGGAGCTGAGATTATATATTTTACAGAAAATATCAATAAAAGATTGGCAAGAGGGGTTTTTATAGTGGTTCGGATGCAACAAGCGACTCCTACATCCACTGTTATTTTATTTGATCTCTCCCTATTTCTATGAATTTGCCCGTAAGGCATACAAAGATGAAGAAATACAGTGTTTTTACAGAGAGAAAGAATTGAAGCTAAATCTCAGCCCAGCCTCTCTTCTTCGGGAAGAGGAGGCCCATTTATTCACATTTGCAGTCAATGCAATGAGAGCTTTTGCAAACTGCCTTGACACATGGAAGGCTCTCGTCTATTCATCTCTTTGAAATGAGATAAAGTTGGTGAGAATATCTTTGGAGATATGGGCTTAGCTGCTGGTACAAAGAGACATTAATTGTGCTGACATAGGCTTGACTTTTGAGGCATAACAGAAGCCCCTTAGTTTTTGAAGTGCGTTGCACTTTAGAAACTAAAGTCTTTGATCTGACTGGCTGCTGTCTCGAACTGAAGAGCTCGAACTGAAATCTGAAATCTGGTAGGAAAACGACTTGAAATCTGAAATCTGTTAGAAAAACGACGAGAAACCTGTTAGGAGAACGATCATAAATCTGTTAGGAGCTCATCCTGAAATCTGAAGTCTGTTAAAAAAACGATTAGAAATTTGTTAGGAAAACGACCAGAAATCTGTTAGGAGCTCGACCTGAAATCTGGTAGGAGCTCGATCTGAAATCTGGTAGGAGAACGACCTGAAAGGTCATAACGATCTCAATCTGAGCAAAACGAGCTCAACTTGAGAGTAAAACGACATTGACCTGAGAGGTCAAAACGAGCTCAAAAAGCAAAACGACCTCAATTTTAGAGGTCAAAACAAGCTCAATCTGAGCAAAACGAGCTCAACTTGAGAGCAAAACGACCTCGACCTGAGAGGTCAAAACGAGCTCAAAAAGCAAAACGACCTCAATTTTAGAGGTCAAAACGANGTGGCCGGAATCTGGCATTGGGGTGGTGGGGGTGTTTTTGTCATTTAACAAACTTTTTATATATGGGGGTGTTTAATTAAATTAGCAAACCTAGGGGGTTTTTTAGAAATTTTTAAATTTATAAAAAACAAAAATTAAAACTTTGAAGGGCATTTTAGTCTTTTCACTATTAATAAACAAAACTCACTAACAGAATATGACGGAAGGTACCTATTTGTCGTTTCAAAACCTTTTAGGTATCAACTTGTCATTACAGTAAACTTTGGGTATGTACAAGTCGTTCGCCCTTGTCTTTAATCCTAACCATTCCTAAAACCAAAGTACAAAATCAATAATACGATACAACCATTTCATAAATGTTTTATTACAAGGATTTAAACTTATGTTTACGTACGCTTTTAAACAAAAGATTTATTATGAGATGCTTAATATGAAACATATTAGTTATTACAAAAAAATATTAAATGCTTTTATTAGGAGTTATTGATAATTTTATAAGAGAATGTTTGATCATTTTACGGGGTTTTATTTAGAGTTAACAACTTTTTCCCACCCAAATAATAGTTTAATGACACTTTTTTACCCAGAGACTTTTAAAATATTATTTTACTACTTAAATTTATATTTCGGAGATGAACAGGGAACAAACTCTGATTCATCCTATTTGGGCTTTTAAAGAGGAGAGGCCGATGAGTCTTTTGGTGGTGAAAGATTAGATTTTGGTGGTTAGGATTGATCGGAATTTGACTTGGGAGAGGCGGCTATGCAAACCCTAATCGCTCGATTGCCGACGATTGGCATGATCAATGGAAGTAGAGTTTGAAAGGTTTTGGCGAGGATGATCGAGGAAGAGAAGGGTGGAGGTGTGAGGTTGTAACGATGCTGAAATTAGAAACATAATATAAATTTAAGTAGTGAAGTGGTATTTTAAAAGTCTGTAAGTGAAAAAATGTCATTAAGCAATTATTTGAGTGGGAAAAGGTCGTTTACTCTTTTATTATAATAATAAGTTGGTAACATGGTTATTAGTATTTATGATACGATTCGATACAAGTCACCAACGATACATATCAGAGAGTGTATTCTAAACATTTCGATACATTGATATGTATCATACGATACGATACATATCCATTCATATCCTTAAAAATATCAATACAAATTTATACAACTTTATTAAATTGGGTCTGAGGCCCAAAAAAAAATTCTGGTCGAATCCAGGTCACCCAACCCGGTTCACTAAACCCTGTCCAAATTTACCCCTTTTGCATAAAGAAAGTGAAGAGAAACATATGTTACTTATTTTGCATGATGATAATAATACAATTAGAGATATAAATATTGACATTGATCTTAGAAATGATATAAATTATTGAGAGAAAATAATATAGATTTTTAATTTTGTGATACTATAATTTAAAGCCAATAATACTACAAAATTATTTAATTAATGTTGGGAATAATATTAAATCTTAGAAAAAATTTATTATTTTATTAATTTTTTTAAAAAAATGTGTCGTATGATAGGATATACGACATACAATTTAAAAAATTAGGTTTTTGATGTTTGGATAAGGCAATTGATTTAACGATCATGGTCGGTAATTATCTTCTCCTTGCAAAGAAAAGTTGGTGTTTTTTTTTGACATGGTAGTTAAATAATATTAGATTAGTACGAGAATTTAGCTGCAAAGTACGAGTTTAAGGTTTTCAACATTGAAATTATCAAACACTAATTAATAAAATATTAATATTAATATAAAATAAAAGTAATCAAAGTGGTGTGACATAATGAATGAATAAGGTTGAAAAGTTGTTTGACAACTTGCGAATGTTTTAATAAACCAAACTTAAAAGTACTATCACTTGTAATTATTTATCCTCCCCACCATTTCAAACTGCTTTACCAATACTTTGCTTTTACTGTGCTATGGGGAAGATTAATCTATTTGTATAAGAATAAATGACATGTTCCCATATAAAAATTTGGCGAAATTGCAAGTTTTCACTTCTAATTTCATATATTATAAATTTTTACTTTTAAAGTAACAATATTAGTGATTGAGGAGTTCTAACACACGTGTAGAGGATATTATTACCAAATTGCCTTCTC